TTCTATGGGAGCCGCAGTGGGAGAGAATTTGCTACGCAGTCACAATCAACCAAGTCACGTCATCGCCATTATGTGTTGTTGTGGGGAAGAAGGTGCATCAAGTTTGGATCAATCAGCGCAAGAAAATGCACCAATGAACAGTGCAGAACTTCAGCGGTATAGGTTACTCTGTATGACAACTGTACACAGTAAGAAATGATGTTTTGAATCATGCTCAACTCGGTGTTAAGGCACTGTAATGTTAGCAATCTGGACTAATTGAATTCTTCTCAAGGGTATCTGTAGCTTTATTATAACAATTTTTGGTATTGCCACCTCTAGGACGTAAACAACATCTATCTATGCAAATAAATATGACCGACAGGTATTAAAGTTGACAAACTTCACTCTCGGTGTTAATGTAGATTGTAGTCTGAGAATGAGTTCATCATATTTTTTTTATTTGTTAATTTTACTCATTGAACATAATCAAAAGATCTCCTTTTTTAGCCAGGACAATTATTAATCTAGTAAATAACACTGACAAACTGAGAACAGAGTTATTAAGTCGGCTATGAAATGATAGCCGTACGATGCACTGCAAAATCATAAGTATAAGTCTCACGTTCAACGTCAGCAATGAAGCGAAGACTTACTATGGCGAAGTCAAACTCAGATAACGTACAAGATTACAGTAAAGAGGTTAATCTCACTCTCCTCTGTCACAGTGTATTCGTATCTTCATTGAAGTCTGTCTTTTACTAAATAAACCGTTATCGTTTGCACATTCGCGTTAACTCCTGTTGGTTATGCGGATATAAACGGCATAGTTCCGCTGTCATTTCGCTTCTAACAGCCTATGAAAGCCTTTATAAAGGAATTATGGCAGCTGCAGTAACTGGATACAAAGCGACATCACCGGGTTTGGTCGAACAAAGTTATGCTCGGATACCAATTTATATATTTCGATCCGCAGACATGTGTAATAAAAGTTAAACGGTATTTAATTAATTAACTTCGTATTTATATTTTTACATATTCAGTTACAAGCTGTCTAGTGTAAAGCAATGCTATTTATAGAACTTGTCGATTGGTTACTGCACACGTACGACAACGTAAATGTGTACAATCGAAGTGGGCGATCAGCTTTGCACATCGCTGTCAAGCAAGGTAATTTAGCCATGGTGGATTTGCTCATTCGCAACGCCGTTGAGATTAATGCGATCATGTC